ATTAAGCAAACTTATATGAATTAGTCCTTCCACTACTACATGTTAATCTGTAAAACAATGCTGACCTGTAAGACCCTGTAAGATACAGAAATGTCTTCTGAATCATTAAATATTTTGTTAAGTTTTGTTATTATCCACCTTATGTTTTGGGGTTTCTTTTCAGATTCTATTAAAATGAATAATCAATACTTGTATAAGGCCAAGGACCTGGAGTACACTCTGGATACCAAGCATACTTTAAACCAGACATTTAAATATCCACTATTCAGTTTTCTTTTACAAACAGTGTACGTGTTGCCAGATTGAAGAAGGAAGCCGACTGGTCACCCAGTGTGTCCCAAGCTCTGGAGGTTTTTCCCTCTCTACCAGCTGCCTCCTCTGCTACTTTCATAATGTCCAAACGCTGCTAATCTGCTGGCTTCTAATCCACAAAGCTATACACAGGATCAAGTTTTCATGGTAAAAATGGCTTTTCAATCACCCTCCCAGAGTCCTGACAACTAGCACTCTGGAAAGCAAAGTCACGAGTGGCCTCTTAACCACAAATCCAAGACCTCCCTCTGTAAAAGCAGTCTGCAATATGCACAGGAACCTTCCAGGTAATGCATCTGACAATCTCTTTCAGTGCTCTCAGTAGCCCTAGAAAGCGTCTGTTCTGATGCCCATTTTGAGGAAGAGGAGAAGGAACTGTATCCTAGCCCAAGGTCACAGAGAGACAGGTCTGTGGGTAATTCCTCCTTTTTAGTATCTGACCTGTCATTTCTTAAAATTCTCTCCTCCTTTAATTACCAAACATCTTTCTCCACTAATTCTCCCTTTCACCTCTCCTGCCCATTCCTTCTCATTCTTTGTCATTATTTCTTTATCCAACTCTCAGATTTCAGGATCTTCCCAGGTATACACTGCCCTCTTGATTCTTGGTACCTTCCCTGAAAACCTATCACTTTTCATTCTTTACAATCACCCATTCACCGAAAACTGCTAATGTAGTCTTCCCAAGCATCCATCTGTACCTCCATCTGTCTAGCCTACGACCTCTCTGCTTAGAACTTTTGTGCAACTATTCACTGAGCACGTATCTCCAGCTGGATTTCCCATGCAACACTGGGGATCAAATCGGGGGATGTTCGACCACCAAGCTACACCCTCAGCCCTTTTTTTGAGACAAAGTCTTGCTAATTTTCCAGAACAGTCTCTGAATTAAGACCCTCCTGCCTTATCCAACTGGGTAGCTGGATTACAGGCACACAGCCCTGAGCCTGGCTTATCTGGACATGTTTGCAACCAAAATCTTTCCATTCTACTATGGTCACTACAGTACCTTCTAAATGGCCCTATCTGTCTCCAATTCCTCAGATTCATCTTTACAGACTGCTGTAGCAGCTGACTTCTCATTAAAGTAAGGCTTCATTTAAAACAACCACAAAATGATCTACTTGCCCTAGGATGACAAACTGCGGCCCATCATCTTTCCTTCGCCTGTTCTGATTCATCCTTCACAACGACCTTCTACAGTTTCTAAGTCTTTTCCTCCCCAGCATAATAACTGGCCACTTCCAAATGCCTGCTGAGAGTACTCCAGGTCCAACAAAACTTCCAGCACTAACCTCTACCTACTCAAAAGACCTTGTTCCCTATTTTGACCCCCTCAACACCTTAACCTTCCAGGGTGCTCAGAGCACAAAACCTGGTACACAGTATGCTTTTCATAAATGCCTGTTAGAGAAAAGAATGTTCATAATGCTTCAGATTAAGATAAGATTCTCACTGTTTTCGAGACTAAATTAAACTATTTTATTCAAATTGATTTGATTATCTAGGTCTTCCACAGATAGTTATGTAAAATAATATTTAAATATTTGACCTAGCCTCTAGGATGTTCAGCACAATTATCAAATTACACTTTTTCTTAGCTTCCAGGAAGGGAATTATTAACAACACTACACATATATAGTTAATGAGTTTCAATGGCAGAAAAAGGTATGCAAAATATTGATATCTATATAGGTTTATGTATACATACACATGTTCCTAAATACAGTCCAGGCTGCTGTAAGAAAAGCAAACTTTTTTAAAAGGGTTGCCTCAATTTCTCAGAAAGGCAAAGATTTAACTGTCTAAAATTTAGACATTTTTCTTATACACAAAATTTCCTATAAGAGATACTTTAAGACTTTATAGATAAAGGTCACCCCCCTGGGTCAGGTGTGAGTGGTGCACATCAGTATCTGGTACTAGGAGTCTGAGGCAAGAGGATCACTGCAAGTTCAAGGCCAGCCTGGGCTACAAAGAGAATTCAAGGCCTGCCTGAGCTGCTTAGTGAAACTCAAAAAGGAAAAAAAGGCATCCTTCTGTGAACCTCAACTACTTAGCTCACAAGCCAGCCCAGAAATAAAATATGTGACAGAAAGTTATCTGTCACAGTACACAGGATAATGTACACTCGGGCAATAGCCCCCATCAGTTCATGAAGACTGGGACACACACACACACAAACACACACACACACACACACACACACACACACACACCCCACAACAGATAACATAGCATTAAGGCCAGCTCACAGCCAGACAGCAGAAGAAAGTGATAGCTGATAACAGAAAGAGAACCTCCCCCCTCAAAAAACAAAAAGAAGAATGGTACTTCTGTCTCTATTCTAGTATTTCAATGCAGCAGGCTGAGACCATCTACTATAAACAAAAACAGTACTATACACCTCAACGAATAGCACCATTCAATTCTTTATGAATCCGTGCTCATAGACAACCGAATAATAAAAAATAAAATACTGAATATCCTCCAAGCACAGATTAAGATTTAGTAACATTAACAGCTAAATTTCTAAAAGTCAGTAGTAATTAACAGTATGTGTGATGAACTAGTTAGAAAATGTGCTTACGTAAATAAGCATTAGCCCAGCTAATTCATAATCAAAGGTTCTCAAACCCCAGATGTACCTTAACAATTCTGAGCTACACCCTAAAACCTAGTGCAAATTAAACAGCGAAGAACAGCAGCAAAAATGGTAGCATTGGACAAACAAGAATACAAGTAACTTTGAAAAGGAATTTGAGGATTAGAGAAGGGTTTTTCAGCAATATTTAAATTTTAATTGAGCTAATGGTTTTTCATGGATATCCTCATCTACTTTAGTCTAAATTATTGAGAAATGTGAACAATCCAGCTCTTTATCACAATAAATTTTACAAAAAATAAGTGTTATAAATATATTTGCCACATTATGTAAATTTATTCCAACAAACACACCAAACATAAATACAAGCATAAAGCTCTGAAAACATTAGACTGAGAAAAGTTCAGATCCTCTAACACGAGTATTGGGCGGTGGCGGGTACCAAGGCCCTTGTGCCACTTAGCTAAATAGTCCAGTCCCTCTAACGGAAGTATTACCAGAAAAAAAAAAAAAAAAAATCTGCTCAGTTATGCCCAAACTCTGAAAAGAACTTTCAGACTTTCTTTTATTAAATGTCAAGGAGCTAGCGTTCAGCTGTTTTTACACACTCCTGTAGCACTGGAACACACAACGGTAGATGTCAACTAACCTTGGTGGCAGGTAAATCAAACAATAGTAGAGCATTTCTCTCTAGCACTCTTAAAACGTCAAACTACCAAGAGACTGTTTTTACAAGGAGAAAATTAAGTCTGCAAACTCACATTTAATTCAATTAACACAAAGTTCACCTTTCTCTTACCATATACTAAAGATCATGATTTTTCAATTAATTTAAAAATCTCTAACGACAAAGCATGATTACTTTGATTACTATGAATTAAAAAGCACTATCCTTCCTATGACTGGTACCCCTCTCCCCTGCGGGGATGATAGAGGGATGAGGCATGCCAATTCCCAGAGGGCACAGGTTTTGTTTCTGTTTTTTAAACATGATAAAATTAGCAAGCAAAAAAAAAAAAAAAAAACAAACCACACAAGCACATTGGCATCAGGTAAGCTCCACACATTCTTGTCCTTAATCTGGAAAAACTCCTTGTCAGAAAGTGACAGTCTAAAAGTCAAAAAATAGTTAGGATCACAGGGTTTTAGCTAAACCTTTTGCTGAAATAAAAGGCTTTCTCTCCAATGCTCCCACTGGCTCACAATACAAGTGACTCTCCACACAATACCTGGTGACATTCCTTCGCCGGGCAACTATTGTGCCAGCTTCTCCCTGAAGTTTTCCCCTCCTGCCTTGAGGATACTAAAGCTGCTGCGAACCCGAGGCACAGACTCTGGCAGAGGTGATACCATGCAAGGGCTGCCCAATGCGCCCAACTTTACACAGCCACGACAAAGCCAAAGTTTTTACTCACAGATTGGGGGACCCGCTGCAGCCACTTTGAAACGCCCTCCGCCCGAAGCGCCGCAGCCACTGCACTAGCGCCTTGCTTCTCACACCCCGACGCCGCGCACTCGGGTCCGCGCGCCGCGCTCCGACTCGCCGCGCCGCGTCCTTGTCCCGCCCGCGTCCTCTGCTCGCCGGCGCGCGCCGCGCTCCCAAAGCCTGGGCGCCCCGCCGCTCCGCCCTCGGCGCGACCGCGACACCGCAATCCTCGCAGGGGTCTCGCGGGCACAGGGTCCGGGCGGGCGCGCTGCACAGCCCGAGCCTCCCCGCCCCCAACGCAGCTCTGAGGAGGAGGACGCAGCAGCGCGAGGTGCTAGAGGTCCCCGAGCGCCTCCTGGTACCCGACTCCGCGGGGCAGCCGGCTCGGGCCTCGAGGCTCCGCCTGTGCATCCCTCCTGGGCCAAGCGCGAGGTCCTCCGCCGGCCCGCGCCGCGATCTCCCCGGCCAGCGCTCACACGCCCGAGGGACCGGCTGGGTGGGGACGGAGCCTGAGAAGACCCCCATTGCACCACCCGCGTCCAGGACCACTCTTGACTCACGGGCCACCTCCAACTCCCGCCCCTGCCCCGGGGTCGCCGCCGTCCGGGCGCCCCCTCTCCTCAGTCACCGAAGCCCCGCTGGGGTCCCCGCGCTTACCGCGGCTCCGGGCTGAGGCGCGCGGCTGGGCTGTGTGTGCCTCTGCCCGCTGCGTAACCGTATCCAGGACCGGAGGACGAGCGTGCGCGCGGGCTCGGGGGCTCGGGCTTAGGCGGGAGGCAGCGGACGGACGGGCTCTCCGGCGGGCGCGCAGTGGGGGGCCAGGCTCGCACCGCGCTTGCTCCTCCACAGCGCCCGCCGGCGGCCGGGCCCTTCCCCTCCCCCGCTCCGGCCGCGCCCCGCCCCTCCCCGCGCAGCGCTGGGGCGCGCCAGGCCCCGGGCGCTCGGGCTGGGACGCGGGATGAGCGGACGCGCCCTCGGACCACGCGGTGGCTGCAGCGCCGGAAGCGCTCCCGCGTGCGGCCTCGAGCACGTGAGCCCGCCCCCGCGCCGCTCGTGCCCCGCTCCCGGAGGTTGTGCCGCCTGTCCCCTAGCGGGCTCCCGGTCCGCCGCGCCGTTCACAGGTTGCTCCAGGCGGGTTGGATGCGCACCGCGCGCCTCCCTGGCTTCGCGTGTGGGCGCTGCCAGGCGGGAAGCCTCGGAAAATGCGGGTTTGGGCACCCTGGAAAAAATCAGACGGGTGCTGGGGTCGGGAACGTCCCACCGCCTGGCCTCCCTCTGAAAGCCTTGCCTGGTTAAGTCTGTGGCGACTTTTTTTCTCACTAATCTGTGTGTGCCAGCAGCCTGCGCTTGCCAAGGCGGCGTCCAGGCCCGGAAGCAACCTGCCCGCGGGCGTGGCCTTCCCACCAGGACACCGGGTATCCCCAGGGGGACCGCGGACAGGCACTGCCTGGACCCGGGAAGTGAAGGCGGCCCTCGCCTCGCAGAGCCTCCAGTATTGTGTTCTGGACGGATAATGTGACAGCGCACAGAGACGCGTACAGGCGATGGGAACGGAATTGTTTACCTACTAGTTTTGTGAAAAGTCAGGCTGGAGGTGCTTTTGAGAACCTGCTCTGCCGCGGCTTTGAGCAAGCGGTGCATAAGTACTAGGAAATGTTTTAAAATGCCAAGTCAAGCTTTTCGTTTCTTGCCCTTAAAAAAGTGGTGGGGACCGAAAAAATTATCGTATATATTATTGAAATACATAATAAGTGGAAAATATTAATAACGTACACTGCTGTTATTTTGTAATATGTATATTTAACAAATGCAGGGTCACAAAACCACTTAATTAAGGCTGTTCACAAACGGGATGAAAAGATTTTAAACGCCAATTTCAAAACAAACAATGTACTTTTCCTTCTATGTAGTTTAGAAATCTTTGTACCTGATCTAGCAAGATAACATACTGTATATATATTACATACATTATATTACAGTATTATAACATACTGTATATAAATTTCACTAGAAAACCTAAACTTAACCTGAAACCTAGTGTAGATAATGATTGACATAAAAGAACTTAAGCATTTTCTTTAAAAACTCCGTTTAAGTTAGGCATCAGTTGCAAGCTGTTGTTTTGATAACCAGTATGCGCATTTGTAGTAAAAACTTGATCATTAGACATTAAAGCAATATCTTAAGTTTTTATTTCATAAAATCTAAAATTTGTGTCACTTTCATGTGCTTAATAAAATGGCGTGAACTGAATGTCATGTAAAATTTTTGTCACCCTCGTATATATGAAAGGCATGACTATATTATGTGTGGATATGTCTGTGTTCCTTGTATTTCTAGTCTGGCTATTTTCTCTTTTATGTAATGAGACCAGATTTGTTATAGCTCTGCACTGACAAGAAATCAGTGACACCTCTAAGAATGGAGCACCTAGTGTTTGACATGATTAACAAAATAGTTGGAAGAATGATAGCACTTGCTACTCATCTTTAAGAAAAGTTGCAAAGTTCTCATATTTAATCCATTCTTCAAGTTCCTTGTTATATTCAAATTATCACCAGGTTCTTCCTGTCACCTTTAATTAAAAGAATAATTTGGACAGCATATCTGTATAAAGATGGTACAGCCAAAGTATAGTATTTAAAAAGTCATTTCCATGTACATTATTTCTGTATGCATCAATTTATTCAGCTTTCTTTTAAGTGCTTGTAACTCTTCAGTCTCTTGGGCCTATATTGTTTTAGTGTAAATATTAGTAATCACATCAGAGATACTGGTTTAGCCTAGTAAGTCATTATCCAATAACTTTGGAAGCAGACTACTTAGAATCTAGTATCAGCCTCACCATTTATTTGTTGTGTGAGTTTTGGCATGTACCTGCCTGTGCCACTTTCCTCACCTGTAAAATAGGTATAATAATAGTATGTAGGGAATGAAGTTATTGTGACAATTATAGGAATGAAACATGAGTTGCATAGTATATGGCTCCCAGCACCTAATAAATGCTCAAGAAATGTTAATTTAATGTTACCTATATGTAAATCTGATAATGGTAGAATTAATCAACTTGGTGAGTTTCGATTGGGTATTGTTAGATTTACTGACAGATTTATTGAGGAATTTATATATTGCTGAAGAAGCATATTACAGTAGAAAAATATGCTGTTTCCAGAGTCTGCTACTTTTCTTGATTTTAGGGCCTATTTTTTTCATATAGAGTATGAAGTTCTAGTGTTTTGTCTTATAAAAAGCTTCCTAGTGTTGCTTACAAATGGTTCTTAGATTCATTTTATTCATCTATTATTTGTTAAACATCCAACTTATCCTCAGTTTAATAACAGCAGTAGATAATTTGTCAATTTGAGATCTGAACAAAATTATTTCATGGATTCTGCCCTTTATTGGGAGAGAAGTAAATTACATTTAGAGGAATACTTATGTATATTATCATAACTCCTTGAAATTTAATCAAGTGTCTCATGCATCATAAACATGTAATAGTAGTTAAGGAAAAGAGAAAGCATGATTAATATTAATCTGGTAATTTAGAAAAAATAGCTTGGAAAACACTACGGTATGAAAAATAGGAGGTTTAGTTCTTTTAAGATTTAAATGGTGTTTTGTATCACAATAAAATAATCTTTTACTAATTCTCCCTGGACAATTTTATGTGCCAAATGAGTAACCCTGCTAACTTCAGATCTAGTTTTAAAAGTAAAAAAGGAAAATTTTATGCCTTAAAGCTGAAATGTATTGCTTTGGTTGTACCTTTCACTGGTTCAACACAAATTAATAGTCGATTTGGCACCTCTATGGGCATCTTCTGCTAGACATTACAGCCACATGAGAACTCAGAGAACTCAGAATTGTGAAGAAGAGCACTGAATAAATTATCTGAAAGGCCCTTCTCAATAAAGTGTCCCAGAAAGTCTCTTCTCAAATTAAACTTTGATTCTTCTGTACTCGAGTATATGATGGGTGGTATCTTGTCAATTTCTGACATGCAAATTGTTACTGTCCCTTATTACTTTAGACATGATGAAAGTGAAGTATGCTATTCAACAATTGCTTTGTGTGTCAACTAGATTTTAATTTCCTTTCTTGGAAATAATTTCCATGATGTATTTCCTCCAGGCTCAGATGCTGATAGTACAGTTTACATGGCAATTTGGCAGGCTTAAGACTCCTGGAGAGGTGACTGCATGGGGGATGGTGACTGAAGATTTCTGTATTCCTCAAGCATTAATCCACTGACCTTCATAGCAGAATGTAGTGTTAGAAGGTGAGTGCCAGTTGGAGGTGTGACACTGGGGACATGTCAGTGAGAGTGTCCCTTTGGCCACTCTTACCTTGCGCTCTGCTTCCCAAACTCTGTGGATTGAACATCTTAGCTCCACCAGGCTTTTCCACCATGATATTCTGCTTTGAAGCCAGATGACCCTGGAGTAAATCCTCTGAAACTGGGAATCAAATAAACTCCTTTATGATGTAAGTGTTGAGCATTTGATCCCAGAGATGAGAAAGCTAATACAGATGCCCAAGTGGAATAAAATACTAATGTGATGTTATATGATCACACTTAGATAATGCTCATCATTATCCAACTATATTCAAGTTTTGTACAATTATGTTTAAATTAAGTAAATTCTCAATTTAGGATGAAGAGGGATGTTGCTCAGTGGTAGAGCACTTTCATACCATGCATGAGTCCCTGAGTTCCATATACAGCAATAAAAAAAAATTTTTTCAGCTTAGTGAGCTGGCTTTCTAAAACATCCGGGCCCATTCCCCACAGTTCTCTCCAATGCCATTTCTCGAATTTAATGTTGTTTAGCTCAAAAGTTTAAAGTGTTTTATCTTCATCTTGTTGCAGCCAGCTGAGTTAGTTATAGGCAGGCAGGGATAGGTCCTCAATGGAGCCAGTGCAGATAACGGGGGAGACTGACTCCTCCTGTTGTGGGCCAGGCCTCAAGACAAATGACCATACAAATGCAGCCATATCCTGAGGACTGATACCTTAAATAGTTCCCATCCCTCTAGAAAAGAGTCAATAGCTCCTTAGGAATGCCTGCTTTCTACATGACTCGCTTCCCCATTTGTCCCTAATGTAATCAACTTTACCTGAACTATTGATCTCATTGGCTAACTATAGTTATGTCCCACCTTATGCCCACCTACCCTGTGAGCTCCCGGTCTCCCCCACCTTGAATCCATGATTTTACTCTATAAAAGTCCCTGGAAAAGACAGAGTCCTTAGCAACCCACTTGGGTCCCCTTCTGTCTCTCTTCAGACAGACGCTTTCTCTCAATAAATATATTCTACTCGTCACCTCCATTCTCCTAAAATTTGTTCTTTGATTTTAGAGAACAGGAGGAACTCGTGGACATAGTAGGTTAGGCAGTTCATTTCCCTATATCAATATGTTGAAACATCTGCCATCAAGCTTCATGATGTGTTCTGAAATGTTTGGTTTGTATTCTTGGAAATTTATACACTGGATTTCTGACACCTAAAGAGATTTCAGTGTGAAAGTTATCAAGTTTTCACATACACAGTAGATACTGGATATTAATTACTTTACTCATTTATAAATATTGAGTATATTATCTTTCAATATAAAAATGATAAGATATTGGGCTTTAGGGTTAGGTAACTCAGTGCTCACAATAACCACAGTGTATTGAGAGGTATGAAAAGAAAGGAAGGAAAGGTGGGGTGAGAGAAAAGGTGGGGAAAGAAAAAACAAAGAGCAAATCGTATCTATGGAGCCAGAAAACGCCAGTAGGGTTAGTAACAAAGTGATATAGCAACAAAAGGTAAGCAATGTTTGAGAAATTTCCCTTGAAAAAATAACATTTCAACAGATTATAACTACTTTATTAATATAA